TTTTTTTTAATCCTTTCATAATCTTGTTGCATGTTAAACTAAATCAACATGGCCCGAATGAACCGCCCAGCTCCTGTGGAAATCACCTACAAGAACATGAGATTCCTAATCACACACAATCCAACCAATGCAACCTTAAACAAATTTATAGAGGTAAGGCCAGGACAGAATTCTTACTTTTTAAATGCCTGACCAGCATGCCCTATTAACAATGTTCTTCTTTACTAGTTAATAGCAACTTTGGAAGCCATACAAAGAGGTACTGAGACTGTTCACATACTGGCTTTTTTTCAAATACTGATGCCATGCTTTGAAGTCCTACGGACAAATCTATTCAGATACCTTTTTGGCCTTTACAAAAACATACTTCTGGAAGTGAAGTAACGAAATAGTACTGTATAGTAGATTGTACATTAAGTATATTGTTTAGGTCTGAAAACAGGAATTTTCTGTGAGTTCTATATAGAACAATGCAAAGATCTGCTAATGGAAAGAACTAGCATTTAGGTTAATCTGAAGTGATGTAATGTTTCTTTTCACCTATTACATAGTGATTTAAAATAATTCACTATACATTGTGAATCAGAACTGTAAGAACAAATAACAGGATTGAAACATGCTTTCACTGCCTGTTTCTCTTCATTATTTTAAGTCATGGTAGTGGAGCAGCTTAATAGAATCCTCCAAGTGCCATAGTGTCTTACTTGAGTGAAATATGTGGCAGTAGGCTTGCTCTGCATCCAGAGTTGCTGAAACTGCTTGAAGTGTTTTGGTACGTGCTGAAGTTATCTACTGACTAAAGCTAAGTGGCTTGGGTAATATCTGAATTTGTCATCTAAACCTTGCATCTAGCATGTTGGAGAGAAAATGCACAGTTAAAAGTGTGTCCATGTATGCTAACAATAAGTTCCTCCAATATTACTTCCAGGTAAGGTCCGAGTTTGCAATGTAGTCCCTCAGTAGCAGGATTTTGAGTGTATCATACCTCTCTTTTGCATTCAGTGTGGGATAATATACAAGAAGCATAGTGAAACAGTATTTGCTTGCCTTTATACTCTCATGTCTTGATAAAGTATGCTGAGGCTGTGCTTCAGTTATTACCATGACAGTTACAGTGTGAGTGATGGGTTGTTGCAAGCTCAAGGAAGAGTGCTTTTTTTGTTGTTGGTTTTTTTGGTTAATAAATGGAGGTTAATAGCAAAATGGAAAATTAAATTTTGTTACCCTCTAGTTATGATCACTCCAGAACTGGAATAAGAAATTTTCCTGTGGTCATAATTCTCATTAGTAAGAGGCGTTACAAACCTGTTGTTTTAAGTAGAGAAATAGAAGGGGAGAATTTAAAATGTGTAGCTTTGCAAATCTGGAAACTTCCTGTTCCTTTGAAATTAATTATCTTTTGGAGATGGACTACTTATTTCATCAGAATGTTCATCTAGTTTTGATTTTAAAAGCAAAAAGTCTGATCCAACATAACAAAACTATGCAGAAGAGCTTAAAGGTATCTGACATGAGCACACACAAGTTTTCACTGATGTCAGCTTTCCTAGTTCTTCAGAGTGGCAAGCATTTGTGCAAGTTTACTTTCTGAAACTTTTGGAATTATTTAATAAGCTAACCTACTGACAAAATTAAATTGTAAGTTAAATTGGTTTACTCCTAAAGCAGGTGGTGCTTTTTTCTTTTCCCACTCCCTAGGAACTTAAGAAATATGGTGTTACCACAGTGGTAAGAGTGTGTGAAGCTACTTATGACACTGCTCCGGTGGAAAAAGAAGGCATTCAGGTTTTGGTAAGTAGTATAAAAGCAGACTTTAAAACCAACCTACCCTTCACCCCCCTTATAAGGTAGTATTGAATTTATTTATTCTTTTAAGTCTTCAAGTGTATCCCATGAGCTGGTGGGGGCAAAAGCTGTACAGACGTGCTCTCTTGTCAGGAAAAAAAAACACCTGTTTTTTGAGCAAAATCTGTGCAACAATCAAAAGGAATATATTCCTGATACTGCTATAGTTATACTATTAGAAAACCATACACATGAGTGGTTCCTTTAGCTGTCAGCTCTTTTGTACAGTGTCCCCTACATTTTTTTGTATGCACGTAGCATATTGCAAGTTTAAAGACTTATATCTTTATGTATTTTTTTAAATGAATGTAATGCTATATTCTAGGATTGGCCCTTTGATGACGGTGCTCCACCATCCAACCAGATTGTTGATGACTGGCTAAACCTCCTTAAAGTTAAATTTCGTGAAGAACCTGGTTGTTGTGTTGCTGTACACTGTGTTGCTGGTCTTGGAAGGTGGGTGAGGTTTTAAAGATCTGTTCGATTGCCATCCTTGGTCAGACTTGCTGAGATTAAGTACAAAAGTTCTTTGAGGCAGAAGTAAAATAGTCACATATCCAATATTGGAGCGACTTCACACTTAAAAGTAGTTCAGAAGACAGCAAGATATTGTATGTGTATTTTAGACATAAATGCCTTTTAGTTTGCAGATTATGCTGTTACCACAGCTCTTGCACAGAATGTATGAAGTTAAGTAAATGAATACATTCTTATACCAATCATACTGATTAGTGTCCAATAATTTTCCTTTTTTTTTTTTT